TTGAGTAATGCATTTCAGATTCAGAATAATGTAGACAGCGCCCTCTAGTGGATTTGCCATCAGAAGCTGCAAGAAAACACACCTGCAGCAATGCATTTTACATTTCACTCTCTCTCTATAGATATATATACACATTTCCAATCAGCCTGGGTCGGTATATCACATGCAGAATAAACAGGTCTGTCTCTACTGAAGTGGTGTTGGTGCAGTGAAACCTACACATTCTATCCTATCCTATTCTATTATGTGTGTGTGTGTGTGTGTGTGTGTGTGTGTGTGTGTGTGTGTGTGTGTGTGTGTGTTTGAGAATGAGCCCCCAGTGACACATCTCCAGCGCTCTTCTGTGAGATCAAATGTAGTGCTAAATGAAATGTGAGAATCACTGCGCTGCAGACGGGATGTATTTCAGCTCACTGATGTTCCTGTGTTTCTCCACTAGTGCTGTTGAATATTGACTCTGTCTTGAACACAGTGATTTGTGAGGTGATGATGCAGGATATTCACATTTTATTAGGATTCTTTCTTCAAACTAACGTTGTTTAATCTCTGAGCTTCAGCTGTACAGTGGAGGTAATCCAGAAGGCTCAGGTCCAATCACTGGAATCGTCTTGTTTTTGGCTTGATGTGGATTGATTTTGAGTGTGTAATATTGTGAGAGTTTGTGTTTTGTTTCTAGTCCTGAAAACTCTTAAATCAAGAAGCACTTTCTAGACAAGTGACGCCTCGTTCACACTGCAGGACTTTAAACCGGATTTATAAGTTATCATACAGACATTTCAAAGAGTTCTTCACTTATACAAACTCAAAACTCTCTGCCTGCGTCTGCGGTGCTAGTGTTAAAGCCACATCTATCCATTTGACCCTCGCTGATGAGTGACTGATCCGCTGACTGATGCTGTTCTTAAACGCCTCCTTTAAAGCTTCCTGAGAAGTTTGAGACGCTGTCAGTGATGTCATCAGCACACAAGCAGCCAATGGGGTTCAGCTTTTTCTGCAGGCTCCTCCCTCAGATCATGCAGTGTGTGTGAGACGCCCTCTTGTGGATTATAGTGTGAACAGCACAGCGATCTGCTCATGTTTACAGTCATGCAGTGTGAACTGGGCTCTTGTGTTCAGAAATATTGAGTCAGAGTGAAGAGTTTCCTTAAAACAGGCGGAATAATCTGACACTGGGGGAATAATCTTGTAGAATCACATTGTTTAGTGTTGGAAGAACATCATTTAGCTCCTCTGTTGGCAGATTCTTCAGCTGGTTTTAAGGAAGAACGTAGTTTTGACGACATTATTTTGATTTTACACCACTGTTAGATGTTTGGCCGTGTGTGTGTGTGTGTGTGTGTGTGTGTGTGTGTGTGTGTGTGTGTGTGTGTGTGTGTGTGTGTGTGTGTGTGTGTGTGTGTGTGTGTGTGTGATGCTGCCCACTGCACACTGACCCAACACTAGTCATGATAATTAAACAGTATACAGGGTTGCCAGTTGGCAGAAAGCTCAGCCTATATTAATGAAACTTGATTTTACCCTCAGATATAGGGTCAGATGTCTGATTAAAGTGTGTATAATGAGTAAAGAGTGAGTAAATAATGAGATGTGTCAGGGCTGATTTGGCTCAATCTACACTGTAAACGCTCTATAGAAATAAAGATGAGTTAACTTGGTTGAAATGGGCATTTAGGCGAGTATGAATAATCATCATCATCATCATCATCATCCTGCGTATGACCACAGAGGTGATGAGATGATCAATACGGTACTCCTGCTGCAGATTATAGAGGCGAGAGTGCTCACGCGGTGTAGACAGCGACACACTTCATACCTTCAATAACTCCTCTTCATCATCCCGCTAATGTGATCTACTAATCATGGCTGCTTTACAGCATTAACAGTTCAATTAAACCTGCAGATGATCACAGTCTGACAGCCTTTATATAAAACAGAATCGAATTTGATCATAACATTATTATAAATGTTAATAAACGACTGTGATCTGGCTTATGGTTTGTCTCCAGTATTAGATTTACAGTAGACCTTGCTCAAAGATATTCTATGCAACATGTCAATATGAAAACACACACACACACACACACACACACACACACACACACACACACACACACACACACACACACACACACACACACACACACACACACACACACACACACACACACAAGGCGAGCGCTCTGCATGTCACACTCTCTCTGCTGCTGTGAGGAATGAGCCTGAGCATGAGCGCTGCTGTCACGATGGAGATCAAATCAAGGCTCAGTTCACCCAAAACTGAAAAACACAACAACTTTACTCATTCAAAACCATCATGAGTGTCTTTCTCCTGTTGAACACTAAAGAAGACACTTTGAAGAATGTTAAAAACCGGTGACTTCCATAGTACACTCAGAAATAAAGGTATAGGAGCAGGAGTACACATTTGTACCTAAAGGGTCCATATTATTACCTCAAGCGTGCCTAAAAACTCCACGTGTTCCTCTTAAAATGTTTAGGCAGTAATATATACGTTTGAGGTATTAATATGGACCCTTTAAGTACAAATTTATACCTTTTGAAAAGGTACCACCCCAGTGGCAGATCGCAGACCTTTATTTCTGAGTTTACTCTGGAAGTCAATGGTTACCAGTTTTCAACATTCTTCAAAATATCTTCTTTAGTGTTCAACAGGAGAAAGAAGCCCAATAATGTTGATAATCAGTCAAGAGAGAGTAGAGAGTGAGTGAAGGCTCATTTATTGAGTGAACTGACCCTTTAGGGGATCTTTTCTTCCACAGTTTTGATGTGTTTCAGTGAGCTGGATAATGAGGACACTGATCTGAAGGTTATGATGAAGATAAATGATTAAGGAAAGCTCATTTCTGTCTGTTCCTGACAGTCAAGTGTTAAACTAATCCTACATGTGAAGGGAAAGCTCCTGTTGGGCTTTCAGATAATGTACATTCTTTATGTTGTTTTGCCAAGATCCTGTGTGTGTTTATATACGTATGTGTGTGTGTGTGTGTGTGTGTGTGTGTGTGTGTGTGTGTCATTTCCACACATGTTTTCCTGGACAGCAAATAACCTGTGTATTTTCACATGACTGAAGATGAGTGGATCACTTCTGTTGAGTAGTATTAATAAACACTAGTGGATATGCACATGTGTGAGTGACTCTGCTGTTCCTCCACGTCTCTAACCTCTCTCCTCACCCATCAACATAATCAAGGAATAAAAGCATTCAGAGTGCCGCTGTGCGTCTCATCAATTCTCAATACTGTAGAGATGTGAGATGTTGCTGTGCTGATTGTAAAAGTCCTCCGTCAGTCCGTCATCACAGTGCTTCAGTATTCTTCTTCTTCTTCTGATGTTATTCCCTCCAGAACTGTGTTGAGCATCTGTCTGCGCTCAGGTCACTGCAGCGTTTGGTCTTGGTGTTCTGACTCGTTTATTAGAGGAGAGCAAACAGCCCAGTGGAGAATCCCAGCAGGTCAGCAGACTCCATTCCTCTCAGTGATGCTGGAGCTGATGCTCTACTGTGCAGCGCTGATGGACACGCTGCTCATCTCTTATTCAGTATGACAGTACTGCTCTTAAATCTAATTCACATCTTTGCCTCTAAACACAGCTATGGGCAGCCGCTGTGCACATTTAACCACAGCTCGATTAGTCAGCGCATATCCTGCACAGGATTTGTTTTAATGTGATGTAGAAGAGATACGGCCACTCTACTTACTGTACCACATACATACATAGTATTGACATCTAAACATAAAGCAATCATGACAACTATATATCATATGAAAGCTTAACATGACTAGTTTCCACATCTGGTGATGATTTATTATAGATATTACTGAGCAACAGGATATTCATTAATCTGCAACAATGCTACTTATCAGTGACGTACAGCATTACTTTGCTACAGCAATCCACACATGTGTTTTTAGAGGTTATATTCACATCAAATACACAGAGCTTTCCATACTATAAAATTAGATGTAGATAGTAGATGTTTAAAATATGGCTCATACTGCTAAAAACAGAGAGAAAGGTGGCGCTCTTGTGTGATCAGCAGTGTAAACTGGATGTGGTCATGTCTGGTACTGCAGCCAAACTGCTGCTGAAGGCTCTGCTTTAGAGATATCAGCTTCAAGTTTGTAATATAATTTGTTCAGATACTTCGCTTTGAGTTTCTGCCCATTTTAGACTAAACGTTTTGTAAAATACAGTCAGGTCCATAAATATCTGGACATCGACACAACTAAATAGTTTCAGCTCTCTACACCAACACATATGAAAGATAAAGCTGGTGCTGAAATGAGAATGACCCGAACACACTGCAACAGCAACCTAAGAAGGAGAAGTGGAATGTCATGCAATGGCCAAGTCAATCACCTGAGCTGAACCCGATTGAGCATGCATTTCACTTGCTGAAGACTAAACTGAAGAGGAAGTGCCTCCAGAACAAGCAGGAGCTGAAGACAGAGCAGAGGTCTGGCAGATCACCAGCAGAGATGAACCCAGCGTCTGCTCATGTCTCTGAGTTTCAGACTTCAGGCTGTAACTGACTGCAGAGGATGTGCAAAAAAAAAGTGAAAGTTTGATTTCTGATTATTATTCTGTCCAATTAATTGTGGACCCTTAACAAGTGGGAGGCACATGTGCAGACTGCAGTAAATCCTCCAGCGTTCACCTGATGTGGATGTAAACACTGCTGACCGCCTGCAGGTGAAGCACGTCTTGATCATTTCTCATCCATTGTGATGCTGTATAGAGGCAAACACATTTACAACGCATCAATTTCCAAATATTCATGAACCTTTATGTCCTTTAATGAAACATATTTATTGTTTTATTATTAAATACATATGCAGTACATTCAAAGGATGCTTGAAGCCAGTAACCATTGACTTGCACAGTAGGAAAGCAAACACTACAGCAGTTCATGGTTCATGCTAAACATCTTCTCCAGTGTTGAACAACAGACAGAGTGTTGAAATGATGACAGAGCTGTGTGTTTGTGTGTGAACTGGCCCTTTAAGATGCCGCTGTGTGTGTGGAGGGCGTCAGGAGCTCTGTTTTCTCTGCTGGAGTCGGTGTGTAAAGCGCTCTGTTCTGCGGCGTCGGCGGCACAACCTCAATATACACTCCAGCCTCCACATGCGGATCCGCGCCGTCCACCAGCGCATCCAGCTCTGACCACACTACACACACACACACACACACACACACACACACACACAGGAACAAACACACACAAACAGTTCAATAATGCAGAAGTACACAATCACTGATCACACTACTTTAACATATCAGCTTTACAGTGTGTGTGTGTGTGTGTGTGTGTGTGTGTGTGTGTGTGTGTGTGTGTGTGTGTGTGTGTGTGTGTGTGTGTGTACGACTGGTCAGCTGTATATCATATCTGTCAACATTGGGATGTGAAAATAAGAGATATGCCCATCATAATCAAGGATATTAATACAGGAAAATGAGTGAGTGAAGATGGCGTCTGATGATGAGGGTAAGAGAGTTTTCCCTCCCCATAACATGGCGTTTATATCATGATCAGTCCAGCAGGTGGCGCTGATTCCCTTATACAGCATTATTAGTTCAAATAGATTGAAACTGTTTATAAGCTGTCTGACTGTTCTATTAAAAAGGTCTACATGTAGAATTATACACTATATTATGGACTTAACCATGTTAATTCAGCAGGTCACTGTATAACAGTGGTTTCTTCTGTAGACCAAAACTAATATTTCTTAAGGAGGCTGATAATACTGACCTAAAAACATCATTATAATAAATAAAAACTGCTTTTATTGCAGCCAAACAACAAGAAATAAGAAGAAAATCTGTAATAGGAAATGCTGTGTGAATGCCCTCGCTCTGTTCAACATCCTTTGGGAAATAAAATAAAAATTATTTCCCATTTTTCCTACAGTATATATATTTATTGATATGTACTGTACATGTAATTAAAAACAAAATGAGCCGTTGTGTGAAATCCTATTTCTTTTATAAATTATTTCCCAGGTAAGTTAGCCAGAGCAGGAGTTCTGTCACAGTAATATCTGAAAGGGAAGACTCTGATGAATGCTGAACCTCTGTTCTCCTGATGCGTCCAGAAATCCTGAACCGTTTTGTTGATGTCGCAGCTCTTCTCCCGCAGTTCCCTCTGCCACTGCCGCAGCTCCTGCACCTCTGGATGAGCCCGCACCTGAACACAGAGGACACACACACACACACACACACACACCGCATCCACTGCTCACTCAGCTGATTTTTACTGAGAGCTCATCTGCTGAAGAAAGGGATGGTGAAAGACATACATCAAGCTCTACTGTAAACCCAAACAACACTACGGCAGATCTTGATGTTCAATTCAGTGACTGATTTAGTGACTGTATCTTAGTCCCTTTATTCATCAGGGGTCACCACAGCGGAATGAACCACCAACTATTCCAGCATATGTTTTACACAGCGGATGGCCTTCCAGCTGCAACCCAGTACTGGGAAACACATTAGAAACCACTGAAAGTAAATTAAAAGTTGCATCTGCATATACACATGTGGAAGGTTTATGTGCTTTGCTGACTGTTTTATGAACTGTGCAGATGAGCAATGCAATTATATTAATATGAAAGTACATTTAAGTAGCTTTATTAGTTACAAACAGCGTACAGAGCAGAGCGTCTCTACAACAGCTCAATCATAATCAGATGTACAGAACACACCTCTGTGAACACGTTCAGTGACTGTACTGATGTGTTCATGTGTTTGTACCTTATATCCCCTCCAGAACGCCTGGATCAGCACTGCAGCCTGCTCAGGTGTTGGAGGAACCTGGATCTGCGGTCTGGGACTGACAAACACAAGCAGACGTTCACATCTCATTTCCACTACGTTACACCAAACACCAAGAACATGTCAAGAACATTCCCCTCCTCTAATACACTACAGATGATGTTTTCATTACACTATCACATAATAACACTATAACATTACCTCATTTAAAGATCACTTGGTCATTTATAATACTCATATTCTACACGTTTTATTCGCCGTCACATGAAGTTGTACTGAACAATGGCATTTTCTAACTCCATCAACAAACGGATAAAGAAAAGCAATTTAAACTATTTCTTTTACAATTTAAAATGATTTATTTATGTGATTATATATTTATTATTTGATTAATGAACATTTTAAAGCAAGAATTCAAGTCTGTGTGAAGTGGAAGCTTCTGAATGCTTGTGTCAGTATGTTAATGAACTTCACACTGGAACTGAATATTGATTAGGGGGCGGGGCTTCCTTCAGCACTTCATGGTGAAGTCTAGATGGGATACGCGGCCGGCCGGAAGTGTGATACACACATCAGCATAGCAGCATTCTTTATCACACTGTATAACAATAATTAATATTTTTACAGTACTGTTACGGTTGGGTTTAGGGCTGGCTTGGGGGCAGATGTTAGTAAATAATATAAATCATTATCATTAATGATTAATCATTCAATCTAGCCACACACCATTCCCTCATAGCAGACTAACAGTAGGAGAAGTTATTAATATGCAGTTGCTATGGAAACCCTCAGGTTGGTGTAAACAGAAGGAGCCAATCCAGACACAGAACTTAAATCAATCCAAGATCATCAAATCTGGAGCTCATCTAACACAAGAACTTACGATAACAGTCTAAAAATGAGCACACCCAAATGCACAGTGCTCAGCATATATGCGTACAGCCCTCACAAATCTCTCTTCTAAATTCATATGTTTAATAGGAAGCTCTACAATAATATATCTGTGCATATACATTAGATTAGTCCGTACTGAAGCCAAATCTGCAGCTCATTTAACAAAATAACTTGTGATAATGCTGCAAAAATTAGCAGAGCCAAATTTATATGTTATAGAAACATTTAAAATGCAAATTTAAAAAAGGAAAAATCAACAGAAGCATTGATTAACATAATAAACTATTACTTTAATCAATATATCTGTTTAATAAATCTGTTTTGTTTAAACGCTCAAAAATACTTCGCCTATATTCACTGAGAAATAGAGAAAATATTCATTTTCAAAAATGGGCTGTACTCAATTATGCTGAGCAATGTGTTAGAGAAAATATTAAATAAAATGTTAAATGTAAATGTATTATCTTTCCATTTCTGAAGATGTTCAGTGACTAAAATATTATTTTATTGAATATATATATATATGTTTATAGATCTGTTTTTGTTTATTGTTGAGTACTGTACATATATATATATTTATGTTTATTTATTTGCACAGTTGATGTTAATTAAACAATACACTTACTGTTTGGAAAGCCAGTTCTGGACAAACGGAATGTTCTCAAATTGTGTCGGCATTCTGTCTGTCCAACGTGGGTTTTTACTGACAAATAAGAGAACTTATATAAATAAAGGATGTACAGTTGAACAACGTCCTGTAAAATATTTATCATCTTTAAAATATTTCCAAAGTGATTTTTAGCAGATTTTCTCCTCTAATGTTTGTTCTTCTGGAGAAAGTCTTGTGTGTTTTATTTGTGCTAGAATAACAGCAGTGTTTAATAGTGTTAAAGTCATGTTAAGCTCAATATTATTCTCCCCTTCAGCAATATTAGTGTTGGATTGTCTCCAGAACAAACCACTGTTATACAATGACTTGCCTAATTACCCTAACTTTACCCTAATTACCCTAGTGAAGCCTTTACATGTCACTGTAAGCTGAACACTAGTGTCTTGAAGAAGATCTAGTCTAATATTATGTGCTGTCATCATGGAGAAGAGGAAACACATCAGCTATTAGAGATGAGTTATGAACACTGTTATGATCAGAGATGTGCTGGAGGAATCTGCTCTCTGATAAACTTCACTTGGGAAATATTTTAAATACTAAAAGTTCACAAGAAGGGAAACTATTTTGACCTAAACTACATATTAAAATACATTTAAACACACTGAGCCTTTTCACCGTATCAATAACATTCACAACTCAATGACTGTAAGACACCAGCAGCACTGTATATTCTCCACTCACTTGTACAGCCATTCTGTAAGGAAGTCACAGCCATTAAATGTCCTCCTTTTCTTCTAAATAAATAAAAAAATGAATTATGAACAAAAGATTTAAACTGTGATGAGATTATACAGTGTTTTATATTAATATCTGCAGCTGAATGTATATAGGGTTAAAAAGGTCACACTTTATGATAAGCTCTCATTAGATTTCAGATGTTTTTCGTTCATGTATTCGACATTTACTGATGCTTTATTAACATCTATTAATAAAGGCAATGCATTATATTATTCAGTTATCATGTAAACATGGTTAACCTGCAGCTATACAGTCAAGAGGTGATGTCTGTGTGTACTCTACCTGACAGAAGTCTTGTGGCCTATCCAAGTTTTAGGAACAGCAGATAATAACTGGACTCTAGTGGATGATCTGGTGTCAGAAGTGTCTCTATGAAAGGTGAAGGCCTCTAGATTTTGCTGATTTGAGCTCAATAAATCTGATCATGTCTTGATGTTGACTGATTTGATGAGGACAGTGCGGTCTGACTCTGCTCAGACTAAAGTGTCATCACTGAACAGAAATAATGTCCAGTATAGAATATAAAGTCCTGCTGCAGTGGAGACAGAATGAAGATTGTGTCTGACTCCATCATGAGCTTGGAGGACTGCATCCATACATCTCTGACATGACTCACATCACTGATTAATAAAGTCATCTGGAATGAAGAAGAAAGCTTCAGCAGGATCGCAGAGTTCATCAAGAGTCTCTGTGTTCATCTTCAACACCTCCTCCTTCATCAGCTTAATAATGTTGATGTCTGGTGACTGGGCTGGCCAATCCTGCAGCAGCTTGAGCTTTGATGTGGAGGCTGAAGTATGAGCAGGAGCGCTATCCTGCTGGAGAATTGTCCCTCTCCTGTGGGTTGTAATGTAAAGGGCAGCACAGATGTCTTGATACCTCAGGCTGTTGATGTTGCAGATACTAAATTAACCCCAAACCATGACTTCTCCTTCACCAAACTTGACTGATTTTTGTGGGAATCTTGTGTCCATGCTGGTTCCAGTAGGTCTTCTGCAGTATTGGTGATTATCAGGATGCAGATCAGCAGATGATCCAGCAGAGAAATCCACCTTCTCCACATGATCATCTGGAAGTCCAGTTATGATCTGCTGCTCTCACAGCTGAGATCCTCCACAAGACTTTAGTCAGCTAGTGTAGATGTTCAGTGAGGTGTATTTGTGTATTAACTGTAAATATAATGAAATAAATGAGTGTAAAAGCTGACCTGTGTGCAGTGGTGCTTCAGTGATTCCTCTAGTAAAGCATGCAGCGCCGGCAGCAGCACCGGGAACACACACTCCTCCAGATAACACTGGCTGAGCCGACGGCAGAGGCGCTGCGTATCCAAAAACCTGTTCAGACAAAAACTGCATCAGTTAACCAGTTCAAAGACGGTTTCTGTGAAGCCCTTGATCATAATGAACAGCTCTGTAGGCCATTATTATTTACAAATTATACAATAAACACATGCATGCAGCATTGATGAGTACACTCCCTTATGAGAATCAATATTTCCATGCATTTCTCAGTGAATATAGATCATATATTTGGGTGCTTTTACACAAAACAGTGTTATTAAACAGCTATGTTTCTTAAAATAAGAGTTTGCTCACTGAACATCTTTAGGAATAGAAAGAGAATACATTTGATTTAAAAGGTGTTAATGCAAATGTAATTTTTATTAAACTGAAAGATATATCTTCACTGTTAATGTCAGGATTTGTCATGTTTATTACAATTTGATTTCATATTTTCCCTCAACATTTGTGCATTTCCCTGCAGTGTGATCTTCAGTAGTTTTTGTTAGATGAGTTGATCAGTTTAGTCGTCAGTACTGACTAATCTAATGTATCTGCACACATACAGCTGAAGTCTGTCTTTATATGCAGCAAAGATAAAATAAATCAGTTATTAGAGACGAGTTATTAACACTATTATGATTAGAAATGTGCTGGAATCTGCTCTTCGTTACACAGAAATTGGGGAAAATAATAATAATTCTGACAACTGTGTTTGCACATTATTCACTGATTTAGAAGCATTAATAAATCATGCTGTATTTATAAAGATGCAGTTTGCATTGTTAAAAGCTTATGTTAAAGCTACAAAAACTTTTATATTTTTAATAGAAGCCATGTCGCTTTATAAATACTTACTAAGTCATAATACGGTTCTTAACACATATAATGCATCATTTATGACTTTAAGCTAAAAACAAGATATAAATCAGTGTATTATGAGTTATGAACGAGCATTCAAATACAATATATCCCCTATAAAGATTAATGACACTATTATAAATGCAGAATGATTCTGTTGTAGTTGAGTCTTCATACATGTATAGGATTGTGATTATGCATGAATATAAACGGAGCTATACTTTATTAATGGAGCTATTTTATTATGAACAAGGGCTTTATAGAAACTGCTTGCGAAAAACTATCTATGGGAAATAAAATGACAAAAGTAAGGTGAATTATCAATGTATGACCAACAAGTAAGAACATAAAGGAGGAAATATATACAAATAAACGGGATAACTATGAATTACTCGGTTTGAGAGGAGCATCCGATGTGGAGCGGGTAGAAAACAGAGTCAGACTCGCTCATGCTGGTCTCTGAAATAACAAAACAGGAGAAAGATGTCAGCCCATTCATTAAACTACCCCCGTATCAACTCTCGTGATATTCACTGTATTTAATTAACCTTACATCCACACAAAGCGGGTTATTAAGACTTCATGAGGGAGAAAACATGCTTAGCTTTTAGCTCACCTTTAGATGCGGCGATATGGTCTCCAGCACTTTAAAAACAAGACTGCCAGAGTGCACAACACAACACAGAGTGCTCGTTAGATTAAAATAATGTAGCGTTAAATCAAGACACTCGAAGATTCCGCTCACTTCCTCCTCCTGTCAGCTTTGCGTTACCGTGGTGGCAGTAACCAAGGAAGTAACAACACGAGCCGGGATTCAACAGACACCTTTGCTGCCTATTATTAAAAGCACGTTAAGTTACTCGTTTGTGAATAAAAAGTGCATATTTTGAGTATATAGCAGAAGATTATAAAAGCATTGGGTCAGTCTTACTCATTAACGGCCCGTTCTGCTGCTTAGTCACGTGTCCTGTCAATCATCTCCACTCATCAATCAGAGAAATCGCCTCAGGTGTTTGTATTGTAATGAATTCAAAAGTTAATGGCTAAACTCCTCTTTATACTAGCTCACATTGTTGCTGCAGATGAAATACAGCGTGGGAAACGTGATTTAAGCGTTTTCCAGCGTGATACGTTAATTAACAGTCACTCAAACGTCTTTACCAAAGCCTATCCACCTAACGGTCGGACTCACGCGTCCGCCATGTTTGTAGTTTTTACGCTTCATTTTTTTTACGCGCGTTTCTGGTTCTTAACAAACACAAAGAAAGGGAATGTGCCTATATAGCACAATGTAATCTCGGTATTTGAAGCTGGATCTCACTGAACTACTGGTTTACTGTAATATATTCACCTGCAATAAACTGTAAGAGCTCACACATCACAAATAAAGAAAATACACTCACCGGCCACTTTATTAGGTACGCCTGTCCACCTGCTCGTTAACTAATCGCATGGCAGCAACTCGCTGCATTTCGGCATGTAGACATGGTCAAGAGGATCTGCTGCAGTTTAAAGTGAGCATCAGAATGGGGAAGAAAGGGGATTTAAGAGACTTTGATCGTGGCATGGTTGTTGCTGCCAGACGGGCTGCTCTAAGTATTTCAGAAACTGCTGATCTACTGGGATTTTCATGCACAACCGTCTCTAGGGTTTACAGAGAATGGTAGGCACTGGCACTGCTGTTGCAATGGAATGTTCTATTGAGTGTCGCCTCTTGGTCATTCTAAGCTATTTGGTACTGGATTGTAGCTGGAAGGGCATCCGCTGTTGTTTGAATAATAAAGACACAGAATTAGCTCCAGCATACATGGGTTCCTAACTTTTCCACTCGCAAGCAAAGACTCTAGATGTGCAATAAATGACAGCAGAACAGAGAGCAAAATGAACGTGTGCGCAATTGGGTAAACTGCATAACATTTTATCATCATTGACAAAAACAACTCATTATTTTTCGTATTTACAATCTATTGTTTTTAATTACTGTGTACAATGTAAATTTTCCATAAAACAAAATATTTTGATTAAATTATAAAGAAACAAATTTTAGGCAAGGTTTGATTGCTGCGCTGTGAGCAATAGGTCCAACAGAGAAAATCTCATATGATTTCGACATCACTGGCCTGCCATGATTAAAGCACTGGTCCAACAGTGGAAAAGCAACTACTGAGTGCACATGAATGGTTTCTCTCCGGTGTGGGTCCGCATGTGTTTATTAAGGGTTGATGAGTGGTTGAAACTCTTCCCACACTGAAAGCAAGTAAATGGTTTCTCTCCAGTGTGGATCCTCATGTGTCCATTAAGGTTTGATGATTGGCTAAAACTGGTCTCACACTGAGTGCATGTGTATGATCACTCATTTTCTCGCTGTCCTTCAATAAACTCTTCACTGGAGCCTGATGGGAATATCACAGTGTTTACAGAATGAAGGAATGAGATGGAGACACAAATGAAAGGTGGCCAGATAACCCGTGAGTAACGCATTACAGAAGTGTTTACAGCCTAGCATCGAGCTAAAAACAAGAGACTATATTAGCATTGAGCACATATGTTAAAGCAGTTCAACCCGCAAGATAATTGCAGCAAATCTGCGAACGCTACAAAGGTCAGATATAATACACTTACTTTGAATAGACGCACAACACCCGAAACAGAAGTGCAGTTCTGCAGGCTGCGCTCTGTTCTTCTGTGGAGTTTAACTGCAGCTGGCATTCATGGGTTGCATCGCCGCCACCTGCTGTTTTCACGCAGTCTTCATTCTTGTTTATTATATTCGCCCTTCCAGTCAGTCCTGGATCTTCCTTGACCTTCACTCATACTTTCCATCACAGTCTTTAGATGTCACGCAGCTGATCTTTTAACTCTTGCATCTCTTCTATGTATTTTTCCACATGATGTGAAGATGTGTCAGACTTGTTTCTTCCACCTGACCTTCATCGCATGACCCAGGTAAACACTTCATTCATTGTTTTTCCTTCAGTTCAGGGCTCGCCACAGTGGAATGAACCACCAACTATTCCAGCATATGCAGGGCTCCACGCTAATATTTTTTCTGCTGGCCCGATCGGATCAGTGGTTCAGATTTTTACTTGCCCTTCCTTGCTATTTCAAAGTCACATATTTTAAATAATGTGTCAAAAGCCAAACATAATTGTGCGCACACATTTTATTCAGCGTAAGGTTTTTTTAAATACAACTGGGAACTTTAAAAAATACAATTGTGATGCAGCTAAATAAAACAACAAACAATTATTATAATTGTTTTACATTCCAATTGGGTTATAGAGCAAAAATATACCAAGTCAATTTGAGGTGGACATCTGCTTTCAGTGAAATCTAAGTTTGGTTTCATCACACATCTGCATCCGCCAAATGAGATGAGTGTGAGGTCATTTTGTGACTCTATTGTTGACTTTTGTTAACAAATCAGACTACTTTAACATATGAATAGAAGGGCATCTGCAGCCTAAAACATGCCAAAGGAATCTGAATCAATGTCTGAATGAAATTAGGCTCTTTATAACTGAGATAAAGAGAGGGATCTGTGCAGTCAAGCGAAGTCAGAATCCTAAATGTGCATAGAGTTAATTAGTTTAAAAAGTTATAAAGCAAAACATTATAGAGCAGGGGCAAAACATGATACATAACAATAAAATTCACCCAAAATTAAGACTGACCTGAGGTGATAAAACCACAAGTGCTGATCACATGTACAGGTGCTGGTCATACAATCAGAATATCTTCAAAATATATTTCAAGAAGTGAAACTTGTATAATGTGTGCATTTATTCCTCACAGACTGATATATTTCAAGTGTATAACTCTGACGACAAATATCGAAAACCCATAAAATCTGTATCTGGGAAAATAAGAATATCTGGACAGTGTGGAACAGTGTGAGCATGCACAGCACTCAATACTCAGTGTGGGCTCCTTTAGCCTGAACCACTGCAGCATTGCGGCGAAGCATGGAGTTATTCAGTCTGTGTCCGGCGCTGCTCAGGTGTTCTGAGAGCCCAGGTTGCTCTGATAGTGGCCTTCAGCTCTTCTGCATTGTTGGCTCTGGCATATCTATAGCATCATACATCTCTACGTCGTGGTTCTTGAAGCACTGACTCCAGCTGCAGTCCACTCTTTGTAAATCTCCCCCAGATTGTTGAAGGGGCTTTGGTGCATGGTTCTCTCCAGAGTGCGGTTATCCCTATTGCTTGTACGCTTTCTTCTACCACATCTCGTCTTTTGGACAACTGTCAGATCACTACACAAAGATGTATACAAGACAAAACAAGAGCAAAAGCAGCTACTGAGTGCATGTGAATGGTTTCTCTCCGGTGTGAATCCTCATGTGTCTATTAAGGTTTGATGGGTGGCTGAAACTCTTCTCACACTGAGTGCATGTGTATGGTTTCTCTCCAGTGTGGCTCATCATGTGTAACTTAAGGGATGATGATAAGCCGAATCGCTTCTCACACTGAGTGCATGTGAATGGTTTCTCTCCAGTGTGGGTCATCATGTGTATTTTAAGAGATGATGTTAGGCTGAAACGCATCCCACACTGAGTGCACGTGAATGGTTTCTCTCCAGTGTGGATGCTCATGTGTTTACTAAGGGTTGACGAGTGGCTGAAACTCTTCCCACACTGAGTGCATGTGAATGGTTTCTCTCCAGTGTGGATCTTCATGTGTAGATTAAGGTTCGATGATTGGTTGAAACTCTTCCCACACTGAGTGCATGTGAACGGTCTCTCTCCAGTGTGGATCATCATGTGCTTATTAAGGTTGGATGACTGTATGAAACTCGTCCCACACTGTGTGCATGTGAATGGTTTCTCTCCAGTGTGGATCCTCACGTGTTTACTTAGGGCTGATGACTGGCTGAAACTCTTCTCACACTGAGTGCATGAAAATGGTCTCTCTCCAGTGTGGATCATCATGTGAATTTTAAGGCTGCTTTTTCTTCCCAAACTCTTTCCACACTGGGTGCAGATAAAGCGATTCTTGTCTCTTCTTTTTAAAATATCATCAGTCTGTAAATGATTGTCCTCAATTTTGACATGATGTTCCTCCTCTTTTACCTCCTCATACTCTTCAATTTGGTCTGAAATAAAAAGTTCAGTTTTTAGTAAGACAGAAAAGACACTGTAAACATTGACTACAATCTTTAATTTTGATGCACATTGATGTAAAATAAATCAGATCATGTTTAGTTAGATTTTGTTACATTAACCCCCGGGGTCCATTAGCATACATACGCGCAAGTGAATTCTTAACTTGATTGAACAAAAAGTCATTTTTGGTCATATTAATGAGGCACAGACATGAAAAGGGTCTATTTTATTTGTTTATATTCATAATTAAAACAAAACAAAATGTGTTTGTTAAATTTGTAGAGCAGATCCACAAAAAAAAACACCCTCTCAATGTCATCATAAACTTCTTAGTTTACACCCTAGGAAATGCACACTGCAGGGGTATGGTCAGATATGCGCTGTAACGCTAGAAACAGATAGTGGAATGCCTTCTTCACATGTGGACAGTTTGGGCATACTCGGAACTGCTTTCCCTCCTGAGATGCTGGACGGTTTGCCAGAATCTCTTTGAGGCTGACTGGTAGTCTTCCTTCATGGTCTTCACAAACTCTTCCCAGGCGACAGTAAGCTTGGCCTGTCTGTACCCATCAGTTGTTTTGAGAGTCCTATAAGCCAACCAAGTCTGGTAGGACTCCTTCTTCAGCTTGACTGGTGTCCACCACCGGGTTCGTGGATTGCCACCTCGACAGGCCCTACAGGCAAAGCTCCTCACCGCTGCGTCAACAATGGAGTTGGAGGACATGAACTACTCAGTCTCAGGGTCTCCAGCCTTCCTTGGGATCTAGTCAAAGCTCTTCCGGAGGTGAGTTGAACATTTATTGTGGTTCAGCCAGACGTGGTGATCAGTTGACAGTTCTGCCCCTCTCTTTACCCGAGTGTCCAAAACATATGTGCAAAGTTCAGATGATGCAACCAATAAGTCGATCATCGACCACCACCCTAGGGTGTCCTGGGGATGTTTGTTTTGGACAAACTGTGAAAAACACAGAAGTCCAAAAACAGAACACCACTCAGATTCAGATCAGGGAGGCTGTTCCTCCCAATCACACTTCTCCAGGTACCACTGTCATTACCTATGTGGGCATTGAATCCCCCCGGTAGAACAATGGAGTCCTCAGTCTGAGCACCTTATGCTAGACAACACCCCTCCCAAGGACTCCAAGGCCAGGGTGAAATTTTTTTTCACTCAGGGAAAACTCTCAACACATCGTAGCTAGGCCTCTCACTGTGGGCAACTCCAGAGTAGAAGTCCAGCCCTTGTCAGAAAGTTGAGATCCATAGGTGAAGTTGGCTATCTCTAGTCGATACCATTCAACCTCCGGCACCAGCTTGGTCTCCTTCCCTCACAGTAAGGAGACATTCCATGTCCCAAGAGCCAGTTTCTGTGCCTGATAATTGGGTTGTTGTGGTCCTGACTTTCGACTACCACTCATTCCACAATACACCAGCACCTTACAGCTGCCCCTGCAGGTGGTGGGGCTGCAGGAGGTTGGTCCCACATTGCTCCTTCGAGTTGAGCATGGCAGGGTTCCATGGGATTAAAACCCAGCCACTTGCATATGAGCCCCAACCAGTGTAGAGTACCCTTTCTTGGAGTCCTTCAGAGGGATGCTGAGAGGTGCCGTGACTAGGGAATCTGTTGTTTTACTAGGGGACTTTAACATCCATGTAGGTAATGACAGTAATAACTGGAAAGGTGTGATTTGGAGGAATGACCTTCCAGATCTGAATCCGAATGGTGTCCTGTTGTTGGACTTCTGTGCTAGTCAGTTTTTCCATAGCAAACACCATGTTTGAGCATAAGGGGTGTCCATCAGTGCACATGGCACACACTAGGCCAGAGGTCAATTATCGACTTTGTGATTGTTTCATCTGATCTCTGATTGTATGTCTTGAAACTTGTGTAAAGAGAAGGGCATAGGGTGGTGAGCTGGATCCACTGACAAAGGAAAAGAGCAGACAGACCTGGCAGGCCTAAACATATTGTGGGGGTCCTCTGGGAATGTCTGGCTGAACCACATGGCAGAAGCATTTTCAACTGTTACCTACAGAAGACTTGTTCCAGTGACCAGTTCCCTGCAACACTCTACAAACCTGGTGGTGGACACCAGAAAGCATGCCATTAAACTGAAGGAGTCCTACCAGGCTTGGCTGGCTTGTAGGACTCCTGAGTCAGCTGATAGGTACTTACAGCCCAAGTGTGCTGTAGTCAGAGCAGTTGGGCTAAACTAAAAAGAATTCAGGGAGACTATGGAAAATGACTACCTGGTCAGCCGCAAAGAGATTCTGGTGAACCATCTTGTGCCTCAAGATTTGCAAGCAGTTCCACACAAACACTGTTTACAACAAAAGCATTCACACCTGTGAAGAAACTCGACACAGAAGTACATAGAAACCTAAAGACAGCTCACATTGCAGAAGGGTTATTGCAGAGCAACACAAACAGAAGTATAAATGCACGACTATGCAGAAGGTAGGCACCGAAATCACGGCGATTACTCAACGCAGAAGTACAAGTCAGCCTTAACACTGATGGGGTTCTAGTACCTTGGGGTTCTGTTCAGGAGTAAGGGAAAGATGGAGCAGGAGATTGAAAGGCAGATCGGTGCAGCGGCAGCAGTAATGCGGTTGATGTATTGGTCTGTTGTGGTGAAGGAGCTGAGCCTAAAGGCAGAGTTCTCAATTTTCTAGTCAGTCTATTATCTTACTCTAATACCCCAGAGGAGGTTTCTTGGGAAAGGGAATTCTGGGGTTTCCTGCTGAGACTGCTGCCCCTATGGCCCAGCCCCTGATAAGTAGCAAACAATGACATGATATAGAATGTACTTTTCTAACGGCAGAGTAGTACATTTAAAATTCAAATGCAGTACCTACCAAGTAGCAGGCGATTTCTTTCTGAAATATCTTATATTTCCATTGTTTATGGACATGCGTGACCATTATACACTCGAGTCTTTTGCAGCACCGCATGTTAGAAGCCATGTGAAAATATAACGATTTCAACTTTCACCCACAGCAGCACTCGTTTGTCACACATACTGTTAGTTTCCCTGGGAAAGCACAGCCCTTGTGCTTTACTATATGCAGCAACATGAGAGCTGAATCCACTCAAAAAAGTAAACGTAGTATACTACAAAGAATCTTAAATCAGAAGCAAATACACAAGATGAATGAATAGGCTTTCCCAACGTCAGGGCCAGGTATACTGCAGACGCACAGTTTCTCTAGTGTGGATCCTCAGGTGTTTTCTAAGGGTTGATGAATGAGTGTAACTCTTTCCACAGTGAGTGCAGGTGAATGGTTTCTCCCCGGTGTGTATTCTCAGGTGATCATTAAGGGGTGATAAATGAGAGAATCTCTTGCCACAATGAGTGCATGTGAACGGTTTCTCTCCGGTGTGGATCTTCAGGTGTTTATTACGGGATGATAAATGAGAGAAACTCTTCCCACACTGAGTGCACGTGAATGGTTTCTCTCCGGTGTGGCTCCTCAGGTGATCATTAAGGTGTGATAATTGAGAGAAACTCTTGCCACACTGAGTGCATGTGTATGGTTTCTCTCCGGTGTGGCTCATCATGTGGGCATTAAGGGCTGATGGATGATTAAAACTCTTCCCACATTGAGTGCATGTGAATGGTTTCTCTCCAGTGTGGATCCTCATGTGTTGATTAAGGTTTGATAACAGAATAAATTTCTTCTCACAATGAGTGCATGCGTATGGTCTCTCTCCAGTGTGGATCCTCATGTGTTGATTAAGGTGTGATGATTGGCTGTAACTCTTCTCACACAGAGTGCATTTGAATGGTCTCTCTCCAGTGTGGCTCATCATGTGTAGACTAAGGTGTGATGATTGGCTGAAGCTCTTCCCGCACTGAGTGCATGTGTACGGTCTCTCTCCAGTGTGGATCCTCATGTGAATCTTAAGTATGCTTTTTCTTCCCAAACCTTTCCCACACTGGGTGCATATTACATGTTTCCCGTTATTCCTTTTCAAACTATCATCAGTCTGTAAATGAGTTTTTTCCTCAATTTTGACATGATGTTCCTCCTCTTTAATCTCCTCATACTCTTCAATTTGGTCTGAAATAAAAAAGTTCAGTTTTTAGTAAGTCATGGAAACTCATCAAAAGCTGAAGTGAAATGATATTGAAAACATTGGCTAAGCAAACTGTAATTTTGATGCATATTATTGTACAACAAATCAATTTAGGGATAAACAAATGCATTGTGAACACTTCCATTTCATTCCTTTACACAGCATTAGCACTAAGGCTAGTTTTAGTGCCAAATAAATACAGTCAACATACTGATTCTAGCTTGTACTACCAAGAATGTAACAATAACAGATATATTTAGTGCAAAATTAATGCATTCGTCAGCACGCAGTACACTGAACACCAATTCAAGGCATTTTAATTCATAACAACATAACACACACAAGAGAAAGGCTGTAACGCGTGTTGGTCTGTACGTAAACTCTTCAGTTCTTACCACACGCTGTCTCGTGGGCTTAGTTGCAAGGAAGACACACAGAGCTCGACTGGCAGGTATTAAGCCATGATTTATTAAACATACAAGGTGAACATCTTAAATCAGCCACAACAGATTGCAATTTCTCTAGTCTTCTCTCTCCTCTTTTCAAACCTTCTCTCACACAATCCCAATCGTGGGTCTCTGATCCCGTGATACTATTCCCAATCTTATTTAAAAGGCATGGAAAATTTTTTTTATCTAGATTATCAATCTAGAAGTGTCCTTATTTCTAGAACACAGTTCAGCACAAAAACTCCAGTATCCAGTGTTTCAGAAACACCTGTGGACAGTCCTGTGTCAGGTGCTCTCCAAGTTTGGCCTTCTTCTATAGGACCAAATGATTGGAAGATTTCAGGTGAGCACAACTGAGACTGGGATTGTAAGTGAAGTTACAATGGAACCAGACGTGTAGGGAGTCCTGATGGGACAGGTGTAATGTGGAGTGGTAGGAGCCCTGACAATGCCTAACCAATGTGGATGCAGTTTGCTGTGGAGGTCAGGGACAACATGCTGTGGTATATAGTGGTATAAAACTGCCTCTGAGTGAGCTGCCTGAACTTTTAGTGGGTAGCGATTGACAAACTCGGTAAATAAGTCCATCATTACTAGGGCATGACGATTATCCTTGGGGGAAATAGGCAACTCTGTTATCTCTGCAGCCACTATTTGGAATGGACGGTCGGGAGTGATAGAAATAAGTGATGCCTGCACCCTAGGCACAGGAGAACACTGCAACTGGCAAGCTGTCATCTCCAAAAGAGTTATGCAAGTGTCTGCATAACACATCATTGTGAATTAAAGGTTGAATAAAATATGTCCAGGGAGAAGGTATGGAGGAAGTCTCACATAGTCTCCATAAGTCCACATTCCACATAAGTCCACATTCCAATTACTTTGAATTAGAACGAGATTTGCTGTTGTGTGACTTGTAATGGTTGTAGGCAATAGAACATTTTGTTAATGTGGTTGTTACTGAAACGGTGGACACATCGCCCTGAATGTAATGGTCAGATTCTACAGGATGAGTATCTGGCTGCCTGCGCATAGCATCTGCATTAAGGTGTTTAGCTCCATCTCGATGAGTGACATGCCAGTCATACAGGTCCAATTCTATGGCCCAACAAGCTCGCCTACCAGTAGGATCATGATCAAGAGGAAGTTTCTTAAGACCGACCAAAGGTTTGTGATCCGTAATGATAGTGAATGGGTGTCAAGCAAGAAAGTGCCGAAAGTGGCAAACTGACCACACAATGGCAGACAATTCTGTCTAATGTTGACCATTTTCTTTCCGCAGCAGACAAGACATGACTGGCATATGCAATCACACTTTCTTTTCCTTCTATCTTTTGTGAAAGGACAGAGACCACAGAATGAAGAAAAGCATCCGTGTAAAGTAGAAAAGGAGCCAAAGAATTCAAAAAGGCTATAATAAGTGAAGTTAGCTCCGGTTTCAGTGTAGTAAAAGCTTAATTTGCTTTACCTGACCAAGTGAATAGAACTCCCTTGTGGATAAGATGGTACAAGGGTTCAGCCATCTTAGTGAATTGTCTAATCAATCGATGATAATAGGAACAGACACCCAGAGAAGCCCTGACCTGTGTGGCTGATATTGGAATTGGCCTTGTCTTCACTTTATCTATGTTGGATGGGTCTGGCTCAATCCCGACACTGGAAACACAGAAAGGAAATAGAGGAGCTTACTAACTGGCACTTGGATGGTTTTGGACCAGCTGTAAGAAATCTCTGAAAAACTTCATGCAAGTCCTGTAGGTGTTGTGGAAAATCAGCACTGTAGATCTGTACATCCCAGCACTGTACGTCCAAGTAGATCAAACCAATGCTCCAGTGCAGACCTTGAAGCACAAGTTCCATTAACCACTGGAAACTGGGTGGTGCATTGGAGATTACCATTGGCATCATGCAAAATTGATGATTTTCCCAGCACCAGTGGAAGTCTTTTCTTTGTTAGGCTCTTTTGTCAGGCTCCAGAAAGCCTAACAAGGGGTCCTTCACTCCAGAAAGAGGGTGTGAGTCTTTAAGGGTAACATCATAGAAGCGTCTATAATCAACACAGAGCCGGTTTGTGCCATGTTTTTCTTTTTTCAAACAAGAACAACTGTGGCTGACCATGGACTTTGAGACTCCTCAATGATGTTGTGGTGTAAGAGCTTTGACACCTCTTGTTGCAGTGCAGCCTGAGCAGCTGTGATGTTCAATATGGGCAAAGTTTTATTGGAGCTGCGTTACCAGTATTAATGCTCAGTGTGATCAAGTTTGTCTTGCCGTAGTCATGAGAAGGAGAACTAAACATGTCAGAAAATTCTGTCAGCAGGTTCTTAAGCTCTGCTTGCTCATCAGCATTTAGTTGACCATCCTCCAAATGCACATCCGACATTGGCTGGCCATGGAGAGCTTCACTAGAAGTCACAGCTGAGACTAATGCATACTCATCATGTGCATTGCCAGTGACTGAGAAAATCTGACCTAATGGGCATCCATCATCAAGAGAGACTTGTTCGTCAGTTTGGTTCACAACTCGAACCAAACCTCTGCCTTTTTGACAGGTGGTTAACGTTCGAGCTACACCTAATGTCATAAGTAGAGGAGGGAGTTGTACACCCACATATGTGTCAGTGAAAACATTCGCAACTCTTTTATCTTTGACTAAAATTAGGACTACCATTTCTGACATTGGCAGGATAGTCACCCGAGTGACAGTGATTGCTGAACCCTTTACTGGATTGAGTGAATGAGGTGGTGAAACACAAACGACCTGCTGATAGACTGAGTAGACCAAGCTGGAATAGATCTACGGCAGTCATCCCTAATAAGTGAGAGACCCGAGCCTACTAATGTATGAAGTTCAGTGCCGGGCGGTGTAATTTGAAGAAAAGCTCTGGACGGAGTGTTATAAACAACCAAATATGAGTGGACTACCTTTAAGGATGAAGCTGGCATTTGGTCCCCAATAACAGCTTCTACTGGTTCCCCGGGTGTGGCGAGAAAGAAGCTTTCTCTCTGTGAGACAGTGAAGCGTTCGTGTCATGTGTGCGAGGAGGTATACCTTGATGACTTTTGAGACTGGGGTGGAGACAGAGAGCCATGTCTGCGATAACTCAAATGTATGTGATGTGGACTGTGTGAAGGTGAACAAGAATAGTGGAGAACATACTCGGGGTTGTATTCAGAGCGGTGCTCCCTTGAATGTGAGTGACCTAACCTGGCGTTGACATAAGGTATGTAAGGGGTCTGTTCGTCGAAGGGTGTGGTGTAAGAAGGTTGTGGCTTACAACTACAGGAGTAGCTATAACGTCTCTGGCAGGAGAAGTTGTTAGTCAGGCTGATCTCTTGTTTGAAGTAGTCACGGCAGCGGCGTGTAGAACAACAGTCGAGGGTGCAGTTGACCTGTGTGTGTGTGTTGTGCAGTACAGCAGCAGTCTCTACAGTGATGAAGATCATCCAAGTCAAGCTGGCGATGGTGTGTTGTGATGTCGTAGTCCGCAGCAGCAGAGGACTGATGTGGAGAGTGTGTGGAAGGCGTCACCTTGTCCTGGAGCCCTAAAGTCACTGTCACTTGAGTCGTGCGTCACTGTTCATCTCCCCTGCGCTGGTGTTTGTATTGCGGCTGTGAAAATCAGCTGTAGCGCACATTATAAAACATGCAAATCCTTCCCTGCTTCACCACTCCCACCTGACACTCTTGGTGCTCTCAGCTCTATACATGAGTGACAATAGTCATGAATAATTCACACCTGCAGAGACAGAAGACCCTCCCCCAACACACCCATCAAGGGTAATGTAAAGCAATGTCCATCTGCAAAAGCTAGACCAAACTAAATGCTTGCTGTATTACTTGCTGTATGACCATGCAAACACTCCAGGTAAACGATGTACAGTCCTCAGCATATAGAAATACAGCGCTCTCAAATCTCTCTTCTAAATTCATGTTTAATAGGAAGCTCTACAATATATTTGTGCATAAACATTAGATTACTCAGTACTAAAGCCAAACCTGGAGCTTATCTAACTTTCGATAATGGTCCAAACACTAGTACAGAGACATTTATATGTTATAGAAAAATATTAAATACAAATAAAAAAAATTTAAATTAAAAAAAGAGGAAAAATTAAGAAACACGCAAAAAAAAAGACATTTAGAGTTGAAGTTTTGTAGGTTGTAATATTTTTTGCAATATTTAGCTTGAATTTAATTGTGTTATCTTTCAACTTCTCAATATGTTTGGTGATTAAAATATTATATTAAATATTTTTATAATATATCGGTTTAATAAATCTGTTTTGTTCAAATGCACCAAAATACATCGCCTATATTCACTGAGAAATGGAGAAACATATTCCTTTTCAAAATGGGCTGTACTCAATTATGCTGAGCACTGTATGTGCACTTATACAGCATGCACAAATATATATTTGAAATGGTATAAAACCTGTTTGCAAAACTGCTGTAATAACAACTTTCTTTAAATATAATATATTAAGACCTTATATATATATATATATATATATATATATATATTGTCCAAATAGTTGCAGCCTTAGTTAACTTTTTCCAGGTTAACTATTTTTAACAGGTTCAACTACTGTATAATAAATAAAAAACTAAATTAAGTTAAATGGCTCATAATTTCCATTTATTCTTGGGAATAAAAATGAAATCACCTTTCTAGCCAGTGCACTGTTTGTTTTTGGGCGTGTGGGCAACTTTAGTCATTGTTTGCTATAATGACGGACACGATGAGGTGAACTCTGCCAGGAGAATTCTATAGATAACCTAACAAGACAACGTTTGTTTTCAAAATGAGTTGGAAAGTTCACCTTCCAAGCTTTCTGCAGGTATCATCATGTATTTAAGGAGAGAGTGTCTCACATGGACGAGTGTAATAACAAAACCTCATGGACGTGACCGCATTATAAATAATGAGCTCAGACTGAGAAACTAGACATAGCGTTGGTTTCATACTGATTATTAAACAATGTTTGTTTTTAACATGCACTCGCTGCATTTAAAAGTAGACACTTCAAGCTTTCTATAGATATACGTGTCATGTCTTTGTTTTGTTTTCGTGGAGTATCAGTGCATTTTACTGACGCGTTTCTAAAAACAGTTTGCGGAGAGAGAAAAGAAAAAATGCCTACACTGTTTATTATCCTTATTTTGCAAAAGCACACATGTCTGTTGTCATTGTGAGTGTACACAATAAAAACCAGACACCTAACAGATTCTTAAAATAAGATTCTTTTTAAGATAAACCTTAAAAAGTTTTAAATACACACGTTTACATCTACTTTTTTCCTTGTTTGAGAATTTTAAAGTAAAAAACAAAAACCATATTTTTCTCAAAAATAACACATACATACATACATACATACATACATGCTGCTCACATACTATTGTAGCACAGTCTGTGCTGAATACAGAAAAAAAAGATTGTTAAGAATCAGGAATAAACACCAACCTATTTGTTGTTCAGTGTCTTCATGTTTAATTCTGCAGGGTTCTGGATCACTCATGTTCTCGCTGTCCTTCAATAAACTCTTCACTGGAGCCTGATGGGAATATCACAGTGTTTACAGCTGAACTGGAGGAGGAGGAGCTTCACTGGAGGAGGAGGAGCTTCACTGGATGAGGAGGAGGAGCTTCACTGGAGGAGGAGGAGCTTCACTGGACCATTATATAATTTAAACATCATTAATTGGTTAAAAACACACAAATAACAGCAACACTGATAAAGTCTTATAAGCTCTTTCAGTCTGATCAATGATCAATATTGTAAAATTCCTCCAGAAAACACATTTTTAAACATTTGCCTTCAAATATTTCCTGAATAAAAACACTCTCTAATATGATTTAAAAATATACATTATATTAAAATAGGCTTTTCTTCCTCTTTTAATGAATATGCTAAATAAGGCTTACATTAATCCCTCTATTTTAATAAACTATCTGTAGAGTTGAAACAAGCACTTAGTGAAGGAAATAGATGAAGAAACAAATGAAAAGTGCCCAGATACAGGGTTTAAATTTAAGATGTTTAAGGACCATTATGAATGAAAGTTTAGACCCATAAAGGGCTCAAGGCTAATGAATTGTTCAAATGGCCCAGATGGAAAAGATGCCCTTTCCAAAAAAATTATTATAATTTAATAATGCAATAATACATTAATAATAAAAAATTTAAACATTTTAGATTTTATTTCTTAGCTAAATATTTAAATATTGTGTAAAAACAAGCAAGCTCTACTTGTGTCCATACACTTTTTTCCAACATAAACTTACTTTAAAATAAAAATGAACAAATGTTATAAAAATTAAAATAACTATAATAAACGAAATATTTGCACAACAATCTGTCCAGGTCGGTGTCTTCAACAGTAAATACATGGAGAACTTTTACACAAATGTTACTGTAAGGAAAATAATTAAACCATTATGATAAATAGAGTTAAAATGACCTTTTTAATAAAAAGTGTAAAGTTTTATTGAGATGATTGTTGGTGATTGTTTGGGTTTTGGCCAGATTTAGTAGCAATACATGAACAAAGGAAAATTAAGACCCGTTTAAAAAAAAAGATTTCAGACCTACAACACAATATTGCCGTACTTTTAAGACTTTTTAAGCCTTAAATTTATTTTTTTTATATTTAAGACATGTTAAGACCCTGCAGAAACCCTGCAGATAACCCGTGAGTAACGCATTACAGAAGTGTTTACAGCCTAGCATCGAGCTAAAAACAAGAGACTATATTAGCATTGAGCACATATGTTAAAGCAGTTCAACCCGCAAGATAATTGCAGCAAATCTGCGAACGCTACAAAGGTCAGATATAATACACTTACTTTGAATAGACGCACAACACCCGAAACAGAAGTGGAGTTAAAGCAATTCAACAGCAAACAGCAAAGCTCTGCACTCTCCGCCTCACACTGAGCGCCGTGGGCGGGAGATTTGCCTGCACGCTGATTAGAGAAAGCCGATTGGCTGCCTGCAGACCCTCAGCGACAACTGATTGGCTGCCTGTATGTCAATCAGTCTCTGGCGAAAGGGAATGATTTGTAGACAGCAGATTAATTATTTGTATTTCTTGTTTGCTTTTGTTCATTGCTAAACAGGACTTTGCATTCATTTTCCTTCAGCTTAGTGCCTTTATTCATCAGGGGTCGCCACAGCGGAATGAACCGCCACCTTTACATAAGAAGAAATATATATTCTTAGTCTTATTTAATTAAATATAAATGTATATACATAAATATAAATTTTTAAAAAGTAGAAAACTGTTTAAATACTTTTCTTTCTTAAATTCAGCATAATTTTTAGACGACTTCTGTTACAAAAAGTCTTTAAAAACTGTTGAAGAGTGTATGGGTAATTCTTCAACTACGGGCATTTTTATGTCCTTTGATCATATGTCCAAAAAATATATTTTTTTGATGAAATTCCATTTCATTTGTCAAACTAACAATAAAACCTACTTTTAAAAAATGTACCAGCTTTCTATTATATTTTTCATATTATTCAACCTCCGTTTAGGTGTCAAAATCACTGTTTTAAGCTTATCGCACACCCAGAGTTTTAAACTTCAACAATGAAAATATCATTATAAAATATTATTTATCTGGTAACTATTAATGTATTTTAATGAAGCATTAGTGAAATAGGTTAAACATTTTATAGTTATTAATGTGAGACTATTATCAATATTAATTTTCATACAAAATACAGCTGCCGCACAGTATCAGTGTCATTTCCAGCACAACACTGTAATGTCACTGTAAAAAGTTTGTGTGAAAGATTACTGAGGTGGTGTCTATGTAAATGAATAGAGCCATCTGAGCACATGTTCAAGATGGAGGGAATTTAAATTATCATCCACAACACACGAAGAAAAATCAAGATAAATATTGCTGGATAAGGAAATACATTTATTCTACGTCGTTTCCAAACATGCTGCACCTTCAAGTGAGTTTTTAAAAAACAAACAAAATGAAGGTAAAGAAGAGTGCTTTGTATACATGAAAAGCTAGTATCAATTCAAAGCTAATCGATGAAGCTATCTTTAATCATTCTACAATAAACTGTAGAAATGTCATTTCCACCACGCTGCCCCCTGTGGTAGTAATGACATTTATAGTTTCAAAACACAGTTAATATGGATTGAGAAAGTACAGGGGTTTGATAATGTCACTGAAACACTGGCCAATTTAGTATTGGAGGTTTCATGGCTAAATTTGAGCAGCTGGTGGCCAATCTTCATTGATTTTACACGCCACCAGTAAGAGCAGAATGTGAAGGTTTAATTAGCAGAGTAATTAATTAGCACACAACATTACATGGTGACATATCAGAGTTCCAAAGAGGACAAGTTGTTGGTGTGCGTCTCGCTGGAGCATCTGTGACTAAGACAGCAAGTCTGTAATGTATCAAGAGCCACAGTATCCAGAGTAATGTCAGCAAACCACCAAGAAGAGGAACCACATCCAACAGAAGTAACTATGAATGCAAGAGGAAGATGTTTGTAAGGGATCTCCGGTTGCTAACATCGCCCAACTCACAGCTAAATTAAATGTGCACTTCAGCTCTCCTGTGTCCACCAAAACGGTTCATCAGGACCTCTACAGGGTCAATGTACATGTCTGACTGCTATAGCCAAACCTCTGCTCACACGTGCCAATGCTAAATGCCTGTTTCAATGATGCCAGCAGCAGAAATCTTGGGCTGTGGACAGGTGAAAGATGCATTGTTCTCTGATGAGTCCACCTTTACTGTCTTTCCCACATGCAGGGGAGTTACGGTGTGGAGAAGTCCCAAAGAAGCGTCCCACCCAGACGTCGATGCCCAGAGTAAAGCATGGGGGAATCAGTGATGGTTTGGGCTGCAATATCACACCCTTCCCTAGACCCAAGACTGGTGTTAGATGGAGCATCTCTGCCAAAGACTACCAAAGCGTTCTGAAGTACCATATGTACCCAGTGGTCCAAACATTGCATCCTGAGGGCAGTGGCGTGTATCAGGATAATAATGCCATTTTCTTTAAAACCTTTGAGACAAATGAGAGTTTAAGCTGCGGTCACACTAGAGTTTAAGCGTGTGAAATTCTGTCGTACATGGCGCTGCGAAAAGGGCCAGGATTAAACAAGTTTATTAGACATTTCAAAAAGCAAGCGATTGCTGCATGTTTTCAATTTCTGCCCAGAGAGGTCATGTTTTGATGCTTGATTGGTCTCACGCAGTCAAGTGATTCGATTTCGCAGGTCAGATTTCATTAAGCTTGAACTTTGCACCGAAGCGAACTGCGAATATTAAAGCATGACCCTTTTGACCCTTAACGCATGAGGACTTTTAGCTTACTAGCATTTTTAGCAATCAAGTTTGAAAAATATTTGGGTTTAGCTTTACTGACCGAAACCTGATATGCATTTAAGCAGTCTTATAAAATCTTGTGGACGCTTGCCTAAGAGTACGGGTAGATGAGTTCAACCAGGTCTGAGGATTTGAACTGACCTTTGACTGGTCAAATGTATGGACCGCGATAACCAGATCATCAGACACAGAAACTGGCTATCGGGACATGGAATGTCACCTCACTGAGAGGGCAGGAGCCTGAGCGAGGTGGTTGAACGGTATCGATTAGAGATAGTCAAGCTCAAGATAGTCGAACTTCTTTTACTCTGGAGTTGCCTGCAGTGAGAGGAAACCGGCTGGTGAGGGCTAGCTCATAGCTTCCCTACTTAGCTGTCATTGGGTGGACTTCCCAGGTGATAAGGTCACTTGCCTGCACATTTGGATTGGGGATAGGTCTCTAACTGTAGTTTGTGCTTACAAGCAAAAGAGCAGAGCAGAGTACCCAGCCTTCTTGAAAGTCCTTAGGAGGGTTGATGGACTAGACACTCTGTTGTTCTACTGGTGGAATTCAACACCCATGTAGGTAATGGCAGTGATACCTGGAAAGGGGTGATTCGGAGGAACAGCCTCCCTGATCTGGATCTGAATGGTGTTCTGTTGTTAGGCTTCTCTGCTGCAGTATCTCTAGACTGGGCAACTGGGGTGGTGCTTGCCATTTTTATGAAGGGAAACAGGTGTGAGGAACTCAGAGGAACACAGAGTAGAGCTGCTGCTTGTGTCTCAGATTATCCTGGACTTCAACCAAGGGAGGTGCTCTAGGCTTGTCCCACCAGGTGAAGGCCTCAGGGAAGACCCAAAACAGGCTGGAGGGACTGTGTCGGGGCTCGAATGGATTGCCACCAGAGGAGCTGGAGGAAGTTTCTAGTCTGCTCAAGGTACTGTGTTTCAGTTGGAAGATGCAGGTGAAGATGCAGATGAAACTCATGAAACAAATGGCGAGAACTATAACAAAGGGGTCACATGATGAAAACACGGAACAACACAGAACCTGACAAACACCTGTTGCTCTCCTGAGATGTTCAAGTATTAATCAATATTCAAGTTTGTGTTCTACTCAAAAAAAGTAAATGTAGTAAACTAGAAAGTATCTTGAACTTGAAACTAAAGAAACTTTATTAAGAAAAGAAGCAAAGACACAAGACAAATGAATAGGCTTTCCAAACTTAAGGCCTTGATATACTGAAGAACTGAAGAAGTGATGATGAACAAATTCGTGCAAAACGCTCAATTTGCGTATCGGGCGTATCGTGCTGCAGGATGTCTATTCACGTCTTTGCATTGACTTAACATGTAAATCACCCGCGCTTCATCTTCCGCATCTGGTGTGAACGTAGCATAATACACACCGATCCTGTCTATGGTTTCTCTCCAGTGTGAATCCTCTCATGTCTTTTCAGGTTTCGTAAGTCTCTGAATTTTCTTTCACAGTGTGAACATTTGTACGGTTTCTCTCCAGTGTGAATAGTTTCATGTTTTTTCAGATGTGCTAACTGAATAAATCTCTTGTCACAGTGTGAACACGTGTACGGTTTCTCTCCAGTGTGAATCATCTGGTGCCGCTTCAATCCTCCAGCTGTGATGAAAGTCTTCTCACACTCAAAGCATATATACTCTCGTATACCAGCGTGGATCTTCATGTGTTTATTAAGGTGTGATGATCGCCTGAAACTCTTCCCACACTGAGTGCAGGTGAATGGTCTCTCTCCAGTGTGGCTCATCATGTGTTCATTAAGGCTTGATGATTGGATGTAGCTCTTCCCACACAAAGTGCATGTGTATGGCTTCTCTCCACTGTGGATCTTTAAGTGTTGATTAAGGTTTGATGATTGGATGTAACTCTTCCCACACAGAGTGCATATGAATGGTTTCTCTCCAGTGTGGCTCCTCATGTGTAGATTAAAGTGTGATGATTGGCTAAAACTCTTCTGGCACCGAGGGCATGTGAATGGTTTCTCTCCAGTGTGGATCCTCATGTGTAGTTTAAGGCTGCATTTTCTTCCCAAACTCTTTCCACACTGAGTGCATGTGTATGGTTTCTCTCCAGTGTGGATCCTCATGTGTTTTTTAAGGTTTGATGAGTGGCTAAAACTCTTCTCGCACTGAGTGCATGTGTGTGGTTTCTTTCCAGTGTGGATCCTCATGTGAACCTTAAGATTGCTTTGTCTTGCCAAACTCTTCCCACACTGAGTGCAGGTGAAACGATTCTTGTCTCTGCTTTTGAAAATACCATCAGTCTGTAAATAATTTTCTTCAATGTTGACGTGATGTTCCTCCTCTTTAATCTCCTCATACTCTTCAAGTAGGTCTGAAATAAAAAAGTTGAGTTTTTAGTAAGTCATAGAAACTCATCAAAAGCTGAAGTGAAGACACTGGAAACACCGACTACACAAACTCGAATTCTGAAGGACATTAATGTAAAATAAATCAGATCATGTTTAGTTTTGATTAAATCTAAGTTTACGTTTGTAAAGGGCCTATTTTTATTTGTATATATTCATAAGTGCAACAACATTATGTTTTTGTTAAATGAATAAAACAGATAGGGAATGCTTTTTCATTCTGTGCCTGACT